GCCTCAGTTAGCGATTAGCTTTTTGTTTATTATTTAGTGCCTTCTGACTCGGAGAAAATCCATTGAATTTTGTGAGTGTTTTGTGAGTCTAGGGTTTTGTTGGTTGGGGACCGATGAGTGGGGGATGGGCGGCCTCTTAAAGGGTCGCGGATCTGCCGGCCCCTGGTTAAAGGGGCAGTGTCGGCCGAACATGAGACCCTCGCTATTCTCTAAAATATCAATGAAGCCTCTTCTAAGGATCCCTAGCCTCAATAAAACCGTGCGGGATTTCCTCTCCGTTGAAAGCAGCCTGTTTTCAGAGAATCATCAGGCCATAGCTCATTTCTGTTCGGATGGTTTGATGAACAACATTGAAATTTTTCTTCCTGTGGAAACCTGACATTTATCTCAATTGATCCTGAATATTAGGCCTAATGAGCTAAATAGATGTTCAGAATTACTTACTAATTTTGAGAGTCCTGCTGGATGCTGAAAACCCTGAGTCTCGTCTTTAGCTGTAAAAAATCTATCCTACCTGTCCAAATCCATCTGTATGACAAGGCTGTTATAATTAAGAGTTAATCCCTAACCCTAATTCAATCTAGTTCTACTGAATAAATTCCAAATTGCCTCACTATCTAATACCTTTATTTTGCATCATTATTAGTGACGGCCATCAAAACCTCACTGTCACAAGGATGGTTGCTTCTATTCCTATCTCTCAATTGTTCGGTAGCTCATCTTTCATTTTGTAGTCTATTACAGCTACAACCTTGTGATTTGACATCTTGCAAAACGACAACTATAAGGTTTCTCTCTTGCACAGCTAGAAACTGTGGTATATGATCTTTTTGTAACAAGAATCCATTTCATGTTCTTTTCATTCATTCAGCCAGTCCATGGACATCATGTCCTGGCCATCATCTTGAACATTCGATCAATTTTTAAGCTACCAGCAGCTTTTCCTGTGTGTACCATGATTGTTGCATCTTACCATTCATTGAATCCTTGTAGAGTTCCTACTCTAGCCAGTTGGCCTTTGGATGTGATAGTTCTGTCCTGTGTGTCATAAACACACAATCTACCACCTGACCCTGTATCAACTATATTTTGTTTGCTAGCACTGAGAATATGAGGTACAGGCAGCCCCATTGTCTTCTATCAGCTCTTCACATTCCGAGAGTTTTTAATCAATCCCAATTAGCCAGGTGGAAAGAACAGTTGATTGCAACCTCTGTCTTAACTGTCTTGAATTATCACTATTTTCCATGGCATTCTGTTTAGTAATAAATCAAACCTCCTGAGTTAAACTCTATCTCAGAACATCTTATGCCTTAGAACTCTCTAACTTTTCTCTGACATCTCAGCCTTGATGAAAACTTTGTAAAGCAGTCACTGTGCAGAAAAATATATAACTCATTATAGTCCCATCCAGGGCAAGGAGACTATTGCTCAGTACTGAAGATAATTTGGGATTTACCCCACAGACCAATTGACAGACACTACACCCTCCAATCATCTGAAGCAAATTTAGTTATGGGTGGCATGGTGGCTCAGTGGTTAGCACTGCTGCTTCACAGTGCCAGCAACCCAGGTTCAATTCCAGCCTTGGTGACTGTCTTTGTGGAGTTTGCACATTCTCCCCGTGTCTGCATGGGTTTCCCCCAGGTGCTCCGGTTTCCTCCCACAGTCCAAAGATGTGCAGGGTAGGTGGATTGGCTATGCTATAGTGCCCAGGGATGTTTAGTTTATGTGGGTTAGACATGGGAAATGCAAGGGTAGGGGAATGGGTCTGGGTGGGATGCTCTTTGGAGGGGTGGTGTGGACTTGTTGGGCTGAATGGCCTGTCTCCACACTGTAGGGGTTCTATGATTACCAACTTGTAGTTTGGTTGATCTGCTAAGATTTTATGCAGCATTTAACCTATCATTGCATAATTACTTTCATAGAGTTCCTTAATGGAAGCATTTTTAGCGATGGTATTCATACTACTGCTTTCATTTTTTACTTGTCTCTGAATGCCTCTGACAGTATCCGTCAAGAATTTAACTGGTCCAATCCTTATCCATTTTCCATGGTTTTGTATAGAATCACTTTTTTTGTCCCAGCCATGTATAACTATAGGAAGACTAAATCTGGTTGTCAGGTCTGTGTAGAGTGAAACTATTTCTATCTGTGTCCCATACCAATAGGTCTATGGCAAGTACTTCATTTGAGTTACTAACGATGGAAGACTTCCAATTGGATGTAGCAGTTTCATTTTTATTTTACATATTTCACATTTTCCACTACTCCCTTCTATGAATCTCATGTATCCTCAACAATCACATTAACATCCTTTAGCTGGATTTTTAACCTTTTTCAAGTAGGTCAATCAGATTGTGTAGTTCATACAATTTGTTTATTCTATCATCTGATGTCATTAATACTTCTCCAACATTCTATTTGGAAACTTAAAGATTCAATAATGTCCTGATTGGATAAACTACAGACCCATTGACACAATGACTTGCCAAAAACAGTCGTGTTATCATGCTCCATGTACAGTTTTATTTGCACCCTTTTCCTTGAAGATTTACTCAACAGAATATGTACTGTACTATATCAGAATTGATTAATTCAACTATTTTGCATGAAATCACTACTCTTTTTAGTGACCTCAATATGTTGAACAATCCTGATTACAAAGTGAACACTTTAACCAATCTGCTCGACATACTGTCAGGATGCAATCTCTATCAAATGCAGTACAGTTAATAAGCCTGTGGCTGACTAACTCATCATTGGACTAAAACTCCTTCTGACTAGTCAGTTTCTTCTGATTGTTCATTATCATCATGTTCAGCCTCAGAATTCTATCGTGTCATTTTGAAGAATTTGCTTTTCAGGTTCGGGCTGTTCATTGTCTTAGTGATCATAGAATCCCTACAGTGTGGAAACAGGCCCTTCGGCCCAACAAGTCCACACCAACTCAGAGCACCCCCCCAAACCCATCCCCCTATAACCCACCTAATCTACACATCCCTGAACACCACGGGCAATTTAGCATGGCCAATCCACCTTGCCTGCACATCTTTGGACTGTGGGAGGAAATCAGAGCACCCGGAGGAAACCCATGCAGACACAGGGAGAATGTGCAAAGACAGTTGCCCGAGGGTGGAATTGAACCTGGATCCCTGGCGCTGTGAAGCAGAAGTGCTAACCAGTGTGCCACTGTGGCACCCATGCTGTATTTTGAGTCACATCTGATAACTGCTCCCCAGGGATTCCTGATGTTCATTTACTTAGTATTGCTTTTCCAAACCTACCTTCTGCTGTGATCTCAAGATGCTTTTGTTCTCATTCTTCCTCCCTGTGACATTTCTGTTGTACTGATACTTGTGTCCAATATCTAGGTAATACAGGTATTAGAAATAGGAACAGAAGTTAGTCATTTGGACCTTCGAGCCATCTGAGCCATTTAATAAGACTGTGACTGATTTGATTATAGACTTAACTCCAATTTCCTGATTGCCCCCCTAACCACTAACTCACTCCGATTAAAGTCTAACTCACCCTTGAATGTATTCAGTGCCCCAGCTCTATTGCTATTTGGGAAAGAGAATTACAAAGACTAAAGAACCTCTGAGAGAAGAAATTCTTCCTCACTTCAGTCTTAAATGGGAGACATCCTATTTTGAAACAATGCTGAAGAGTTCTGCCTTCCAACTCTGTCTTCATTTCCTTTATTTAAGTTTAAAGCACTCACTGCAGAGAAATGCAGCAAACATTGCCTTCTACATTCTTTATGACACAGCTGAATGTTCCATTTGTGAAATTAAGGCAGCTGAATATATAGTTTCCCAGATATTTTTAAAGCAGCAGGTTCATCCATGAAGCTTATAAAAGAACTAAAACTTTCTCAGTACCCAACTGATGGGCTTTCAGCTTGTAATTTTACTTTTGTTAGCAAGTTTGCCAAGGCTGTACTTTATTTTCTGTTAGATAGTTCATCCCTTTACTGGTTGTATGGGTTTAGAGTCTTGAAATATCGGACAGTTTAGTCTTGCTTTCTGCCATTTTCCTCATTGACTATTAGAATTTTTATCTTTGTTTTGAAAAATATTTTATCCTTCATTTCCAATCTTCACCTCTACTATGTTATTATTCCTGATAACGAGCTGGTGAATCCAGAGCCTGTCTTTACTTTTGAATAGATTTATTTTCAGAGTGAAACATTACAGGTATATATCTCAGAATTGCACTCAACTCCTGTCTCACCCAGTATCTCTTGGTATGTGCTCAATAACCATACAATCACTTCCTTCTATTGCTGTGCACTGAACTTTAGCTGATACGATTAACAAGAATGTTCTGGAATAACTAGAATTTTATTTTATTCACTTGTTGCTAGCATTTATTGCCCGCACCTAGTTGCCCTGGAGAAGGTTGTGGTGAGCTGCCTTCTTGAACTGCGGCAGTCCATTTGCTGTAGGTAGACCCACAATGCCGTTAGGGAGGATTTTGACTCAATGACAATGACTCAAGGAATGGCGATCTATTCCAAGTTAGGATGATGAGTGGCTTGGAGGGAAGTTGCAACTGGTTGTGTTCCCATTAATTTGCTACCCTGGTCCTTCTAGATGGAAGTGTTTGTGGATTTAGGAGGTGCTGTCAAAGAAGCCTTGGTGAATTTCTGCAATGCATCTTGTAGATAGTACACACTACTGCTACTGAGTGTTGGTGGAGGCAGTGGATACTTGTGGTGCCTGTTGTGAACTTTTATCTGGCACGTACAATAAAAAAAATGTACATTTTTTCACAGGATATTACAAATGGAAGAATTACGGATGAGATACTCAAATCAAACATCATGTCAAGATCTCAGAGTAATTTCACTTGTCAGGACATTAATATCATTGACCTTGGAATATAGAAGGAAAAGATCAGTTTGACCTGTAAAGGTCAATGAGAGAGCACTCCAGTGCACAGCTGAAAGAATTTTACCTGATTACTCAGCCTGAAAGAGCATCACACCGTTCATGGTGGGGGAAAAACTGTATACATGTTCTATGTGTTTGTTTGTTAAAGAATTCACAAACGAATCACTGATGATTCATCAACTCATTATTACAGAAGACAGGAAACATACGTTTATGCGCACGCACGTTGGGAAGACGTTTAGTCAGCTGCCTGACCTGTTGGCAGAGCAGAGTGTTCACACAGGGGAGAAGCTGTTCACTTGTTCCACGTGTGGGAAGAATTTCTCTCGTTCATCAAATTTGCTGGCCCACCAGCGAGTTCACAGTGGGGAGAGGCCTTTCACCTGCTGCACATGTGGCAGGAGCTTCTCTCGTTCATCAAATCTGCTGGCACACCAGCGAGTTCACACTGGGGAGAGACCATTCAGTTGCTCCACCTGTGGGGAAGAATTCACTCGGTCGTCAAGTTTGCAGACCCACCAGCGAGTTCACACTGGGGAGAGGCCATTTAGTTGCTCTACTTGTGGGAAGGAATTCACACGCTCATCCCATCTGTTGAGACACCAGCGCATTCACTCAGGGGAGATGCCTTTCACCTGCTCCGTGTGTGGGAAAGGATTCACTCAATCTTCCAACTTGCTGACACACCAGCTTGTTCACTCTGGGGAACGGCCATTCACGTGTTCCCAGTGTGGGAAGGGATTCACTCGGTCATCTCACCTTCTGACGCACCATCGTATTCATGAGGGAGAGAGGCCATTTATCTGTTCCGTGTGTGGGAAGGCATTTATCCAGTCCTCCAGTCTGCTGACACACAGGCGAATTCACACTGGGGAGAGGCCATTTGTTTGTTGCGTCTGTGGGAAGGGATTCACTCGGTCATCCAACCTGCTGTCACATCAGAGTGTTCATACTGGAGAGAAACCATTCACCTGTTCTGTATGTGGAAATAGATTCACTCGTTCCTCCAGCCTGTTGGCACACCAGCATGTTCACACTGGCGAGAAACCATTCACCTGCACTGTGTGTGGGAAAGGATTTACTCGCTCATCCAACCTGGTTACACACCAACGTATTCACAGCGGAGAGAGACCATTTACATGTTCTGTGTGTGGAAAAGGATTCACTCGTTCATCTAACCTGCTGACACACCAACGAGTTCACATTTAGCTACACTAAGTGGATTCTGCTGTTAGTAATGTGCAGGATTCAGCCAGGTTGGAGCTGGAAGTTGGGGTTTGTTTTTGCTGATCTGAATAACCCTAGAACCGGACCAAATTTTAACACTGAGTGAATGTATTGCATTTGGATTTTCTCTGGGATTTAACTTCACCAACCACTGCTGGAAGTGGTTTGTATCTGTACAGCATGCCCCAAATTTCTGTAGACAAAAGATTTTCCAAGATGAAAGATTGTGAAAGGGACCCTTGGTAAACAACTACATGTGAATTTATTCTCATCTAGTGAATCATTGACTGTTCACTCACAAAATCAGGTTTTAACCAACATGCTTCATAAGAACATTCAGACACTTTGACAGTCGTCATTGAAACTTACTTGGTGTCCCTTTATAATTCTACAAGATAGTAGGAACTGCAGATGCTGGAGAATCCGAGACAACAAGGTGCAGGGCTGGATGAACACAGCAGGCCAAGCAGCATCATAGGAGCAGAGAGGCTGACGTTTCGGGCCTAGACCCTTCATCAGAAAAGGGGGAGGGGAAGGGGGTTTTGAAATAAATAGGGAGAGAGTGGGAGGCGGATAGAAGAGGGATAGAGGAGAGGATAGGTGGAGAGGAAACAAACAGGTCGAAGAGGCGGGGATGGGGCCAGGAAAGGTGAGTGTAGGTAGGGAGTTAGGAAGGGGATAGGTCAGTCCAGGGAGGACGGACAGGTCAAGGGGGCGGGATGAGGTTGGTCGGTAGGAGATGGAGGTGCGGCTTGAGGTGGGAGGAGGGGATAGGTGGGAGGAAGAACAGGTTAGGGAGGCAGGGACGAGTTGGACTGGTTTTGGGATGCGGTGGGGGGAGGGGAGATTTTGAAACTTGTGAAATCCACATTGATACCATTGGGCTGCAGGGTTCCCAAGCGGAATATGAGTTGCTGTTCCTGCAACCTTCGGGTGGCATCGTTGTGGCAAGATGCTGTCTTTTCCCTCCCAGCTTTCAATTATCGTCAATGCCATCCAATCAAAGGCCTTGCACATTAACCCACAGCTGGTGAGATCTGCTTCACACTCGCAGACTGATTTAGAATTTAAACTCTTGTATTTTTTGGAAATGTCAATGAGTTGAGACAGATTTAAATAGGGACATAGGCTGTTTGTTTAACACAGGAGAAAATGCCAAACAACAGGTGACCTAGCAGGAACTGCTACAATTGGAGGTGGGGAGAGAATACTTGTAATGCTGGAAAGAACAAGAGAGAATGTGCTAAGGACTCCATCACTAAGGAGAAGCTATCAGTGAAATGACTAAGAACTTCACTAGTTAACTTGACAGGGAAACACATTTCCACAATTAGTATACTAAGCGAATATCTTGTTTTAATGAAAGAAATGGTCTTTTTCTTTGGGTGCTCCAGTTGGTATCTGCCACTGTTAATTAGGTTGAGGTGCCTGGGCAAGTTATCTTGAGCCATCAGCCAACATGAGTACACTCATACAAACTGATGCTGTCAATGGCTATTTTCTGAATTTTATTGCCTGGAGATTGGGGCAAATTTTAATGAATTTTTAAAAAATGCTTAAAATGAACCATTGAGCTGATAAAAAGCTTGGATACTTTGGTTAGGTAGTAATAATATAAAAGATAGCAGGGTTTTTGTCATTTAATGTTTTTGATAGATTTCTGGATTATTCCATATTATTTCAGGATGAGTTTGTTTGTCTACTAGAATCAAACTCTCAGGTAGACGGGTACACGGGCTGATCAAATGGAGAGCAATCGTTTTGCTGGAGTTGGAAATTAGGGGTGTAGGGGTTCCCAGTGCTACCCTTCTTTCCCCTGTAGTGAAGACAGAAGCAAAATACCTGCTCAATTCAGCTGCCATTTTCTTATTTTACGTTATTACTTTTCCAATTTCAATAGGATCAACCCTCATTTTGTTAACTTTATGTCATTATAGAACCACTTACCTTTTATTATGTTTCTGATCAGCTTACTCTCCTACTCTTAACTCTTTCCTCTTTATTAATACTTTTGATAATTCTTCACTTTCTTTTGAACTCTATCCAATCTTCTGACATCTGTTTCTGCTTGATTATATGCTTTTTTGTTTCAAGTTTGATACAATCTTTAACATTGCTAGTTAATTTCTAGTCTAGCCTGTCCCAGGGAATCTTTCTTACTTGTAAGAGTGTATCGATTGTATATATTCTGAAATTTCCCCTTAAATGGCTGCCACTGCATCTCTGTTGATGTATCTTTTAAACCCAATTTACTTTATCCAGCTCTGCTTTCATGCCCTCAAAATTGTCCTTAATAGAGTCATAGAATCCCTGCAATGTGGAAGCAGGCCGTTCGGCCCATCAAGTCCACACCGATCCCTCTGAAGAGCATCCCACCCAGACCCACATCCTATCCCTGAAATCATATCCCTAACCATTTCTCATGGCTAATCCACCAAGTCTACACATCCATGGACACAATGGGCAATTTAGCATGGCCAATCCACCTAACCTGCAAATCTTTGGACTCTGGGAAGAAACTGGAGCACTCGGAGGAAACCCACACAGACATTGGGAGAAAGTGCAACCTCCACATTGAACCCAGGTCCCTGCGCTGTGAGACACTAGTGCTAACCACTGAGTTACCGTGCTGCCCTTATTTAAACTGTTAAAAAGTCTCAGACCCATTTCTTACTCCCACAAGCTAAATGTAAAATTCAATCATATTCTGGTCTGTGCTACCTAGGGACACCTTTATTATGAGATTGTGAAACAATCTCGCCATCCAGTACTGGCTCCAGAACGTAGTGTTCTAAGAAACAATCCCACAAATATTCTGTGAACTTATCCATGCTACCTTTGCTCTTCTGACTTTTCCAATTGATATGTAGGGTAAATTCTCTTATAATTATTGCTGTGCCTTTCTGACAAATTCTCACTTTTTCTTCCTTTATGCCACACCATATTAGTGTTAGGGGCCTGTAACTGTTTCCACACGCGACTTCTTGCCTTTATCATTTCTCCCCAAATCGTTTCCTTCTCTGTTGTACTAATCCCACCATTAATTAACAGACTCACCCCTCCATTGTTTTCCCAACCTGTCATTCCTAAATGTCATCTGCCCTTTAAGATTCTTGTCCCAGTTCATGTCATCTTGCTGCCCATGTCTCTATAATGGCTGCCAGATCATACGTATTGCTATTTCCACTCTCATTTCATCTGTTTTGTTTCAAATACAATGTGTATTGAGATACAGGGCTTTTTTATCCTTTTATTGTTTACGTAGATTCTAATTTTATCTGTTGGTTGACTCAAAATTCATACTCCATCCTTTCTTCTCATGGTCTGTTTATTATTTTTCATATTAATACCTTTCTCTATGGCCTTGACTCTATTCTTCAGTTCACCATGTTTTCCAAAAGTTAAAGCCTTGCCCCTATACTCTGTTTAAAATCTTCTCTACTTACCCAGTTATGTAGTTGACAAGAACACTAGGCCCAGCATGATTCAGGTGGACACCAAGTCATCTGTGTGGATGACACTTTTCTCAATACTGGTGTCAGTGCCCATGAACTGGAACCCGCTTCTCTCACACCAGTGTTTGAGCCAGGTATTTGTCTCTGTAATGCCCTGTGTCAATTTACATGTGGTTCCGGTAATCATGTGGAGATTATTTATGTTCTGCTTCTTGATGTGTAGCTTGATGTCTATGTCTTGTCCATGCCTTTGTCCTGTTCTGCTGATGATACCTAGTGGACCATGATTCTCCATTCCCACTCCAAATTCCTTTCTGCCGTAAGCTGATGTCCTGACCCCTGCTTCCCGGTAGGTAACACAGCCATCTGGACTGATGTTTTTTGCTGTGGAAAACATCCCCCTCATGTCAATCACACCCCCTCCCCTCCCCATCCTACACTGTACCATCTGTCCCCTACTACCATTACATTCATTCTTACTCCCCTTCTGAGTGGCACCCAGTACCATGGTACAATAGTCAATTATGTATCTCTGTTGTAGCCCTCACTATCATCCAGAGAAGCTGAAAGAACCTCAAACCAATTGGGTCTTATGCTCTTGCTCTCTGGGTAGCCTTACCTGCCTCATTCACAGTCACATGCTCCTGTCCCTGAACTCTTACCAAAATCAAACAATCTAATGCTAAGAGTTGCGAATACCTCCTTGTAACTATCTCCTCCTTGATGTGTCACTGTGTCTTTTGTTTAGCCTCCATCTCATAAAGTCTATGTGATGCTGCTTAATCTTAAAACTCTTGCTGTGGACCAAGCTGATATCCAGGAACTTGTGCATGCTGCAACTGTGACATCCTCCCCTGTCATCCTTAATGTGTTCTAAGGAACTAATTATTGTATTCAAACGTATACCTAGTTAAGTTTTTATATATTGTATTAGTTTTACCAACAACTGCTATTTTGTTTTGAACCTTAGAAAAACAATAAACCTTAGTTATTTCCAGATACCTAACTCACTTAATAAGCTTCTTCTCCGGTAGAAAACTAAGATTCAATTCCTGGAAGTTAAATATTTAGCTAAATAAATGAAGCTGCTCTTACCCATCATTACCTTCACTCCTTAAATTACTTAACTCTGGCACTGTAGTGTAAGTTGCAGTCAAGTCCAAAGTTGCACTAAGCTTGCTAGCTAAATTGATAAGACTCCTAACACAAAAGGCTGATCTGAATCACTTAAATAAGGATTCAGTTTTTTTTTGGTTCTTATTTAAACTGTTCTGAAAAAATCCTGCTTAAAGTTGGTGACTACAGCATTTAAATTGTAAATTTCAGTTATAGCTAACTACAATCTAGATATATACAAAATAAATATAAACTTTCTTTCCCAACAACTGCACACACCCAGTGCTAGAAACTTAAAACGTTACAATCATTAGGGAGAAAGTTTTGGGAAAACTATTAGACTTAAAGTGATGGCCTGCAATCTGAAGACATGACTGTAGAGACAGAGGCATTGGTTACAATATTCCAAAA